GCAAGACTTTAAAACTTGATCAAAGCTTGCAAGTAGGATGCTTTTTGCAGTTGCATAAATTGGGGCTGGGATCAGATCTTCTATAAGGCAGCACAAAGGGAAAAGTGTGTTAAATACTAGAGAACAATGAAATTAGCAAGATGGCTTAGCATGACCGAGTTGATTATTAACGGGGGAATTGATTTCCAAGGAAAGTAAATGAATCACAATTTTTTATCATACAAATAATTCAGTGATTCTAATGCTTAAACCTTGCCATCATGCTCAAACTCCACACATCTTAGCATTTTTTCAAGTGCAACTAATCTTAAGCAAGGCATCTCCAAAAGAAAAGATGCACATCATACCTGCTCCTCCGGGAATGATCTTGGTGGAGTACACCATGCACCGCGATGAAATGCATTGAAGGGACTTGTTCTGCTTAGTCCAGTCATGGAGCTCACTCGAGACATTTGTGGACTTTCCTGATCACCAGTAGCTTGCTCCCGTTCCTACTCCCTCAAAGCAATGAAATAATCATTCGTGCTAATTCCCTGCATCCACATGCACACAAACACCAATCCTTTATCAGATAATTTAACTTTGAGAGACTTTTAGTTATCTTCATAACAATAATCATTAAGAAAAATTAAAGAGCCATCCATCTTATCGAAACAAATTTGGATGCAGACTTCAAAAGAACTAAATGCTAAAATATTTGCTGGTTGCCAAAACATCCACTGGTAAAGTATAAAAGATTGGTCATAAACTCTTGATGAATTGTCAACATTTAATTCTAACCCTTAATAACTATGAAAACAGCACAGTTTTGTCTGATTGCAATGTATCCTGAACAACTTTAATGACAAGAAACAAATATCTTTTTTTTTATGTTGAGGACTTGCAAAATCACAAAATATTATGAATTATGAACTGAACACAAAAGTTTGGTATTGTTCTCAGATTGATGCAAATTAAAACATGGCCAAACATAAAAAGATGACGACAGAACTGTAGTCATAAGGTAATGAACTATTAGGAACTGTACCTTCTTTACTAGAAGCATGTGGAAGAAGCAAAGTTGCGCAAGTGGTAGGGTGGCGACCATTGCTAAGAAGGTACAGAAAGCCTGAAAAAGATGATCCTTCAATATAAGATAACTAGAAAGCATCCCAGAAGATCCAGAGAGAACAGTATAATGTGTAAAACTGACTTGGGTTTATTATATATAAAATAAGCTTTGTAGTGGGATGAACCATTTTAAGCAGAATAATAAAATGTAAGCCAGAGAGTAGAGATCACAAACCCTAACTTTGAGATAATCTCTACACAGAAACACTCTCAGTTGAGGAAACAGAGAATCAATATCAGCACTCTGAGTGACCACTTTAGAATAAGCTGGCCCAAGGTGAACAAACCATGGAGACCTGTCAATAGTCGGTCACAATGAAAAGGACCTGTAACAAAATGCTTGCTCAACACCAGGTACATGATGAAGGACATGAACTGATAGCGCCTTCTGAAGGATGGTATAAGGTTAAGAAGTTCTTAAAGAGAGAAGATCAGTGACAAGTCCAGATGTTACAATTCCTAACACATAGAACAGTTTTAATGATATAAAAGAAGTGCTTGAACTTACCAAGAGAAGTGCAGAAGCCATGAGGACGAAGAACCCTTTGTAATTTTTCCTTCCCACACAGTTATTAAGCCACTACTAACATGAAAACAGTAGGATATATTAGGTACTGTTCAGTCATTGATAAGAAGAGAAATAAATCAAGAGTACGGAAAGTCTCACCCTGCAGCATTGATCAAAGACATCAACACATTTGTCACAAGCTCTACAATGCTTACTATACTTCAAAACCTACACAATGTGAAGCTGTCAAGCGTTAGACAATTGAATCAAGCACATCGGCAATGCACTAACATGATTTCATTGTAAATTATACAGTCAATTTTTCACCTCAATGATGCATGAAATTTTATATGAAGACTGTGATACAGACAAAACTTTTGCTGCCATTTATCACTGTCACCAATCAAAGCTGTTGTGCATGAAGTGTTGGGACATTGATCTCAACATCTTCTTGTCATACATATTTGCTTTGTCTTTCAAACATTCTGATTAACCAAATATTAATGGTAATTTACATGCATGTATAATGTACATTTTTTTCTTTCAAATCTAATGAACACATGAGAACAAGATATCAATACACACTACAATACTTAAGATTTGAAAATGAAACACCTAAAGAAGTTTCTGACGGAAGTTTTAGAAGTTAATAGTCTAGCAAATTCTCTATTCTCTATATCAGCATTTCCTTGCTCAAAAGGATCAACACATTTTTAAATTGAGGTTTGCCATGAAGTGTGAGAGTGATGAGGGAGTCATTTCCGATCAAAATGGATGTCTCAGTTATGTAGTATGTTAGGCCACTACTAATCAACTACCCAGTGAAGGAATACCCACCTGTTCCATGATATGTGTGCATCAAATAATCCTCTTTGTTGCAACATCAAAGTCATGCATTCATTATACATTTTATGCAGCGAATTATAGTTGTAACTGATGAAAATAATTTATTCGGTAAAAAACAAAATCACAAAAAATACTCTCTGAAACTACCAAAGTAGAAATCAAATCTGTCATAGATAATGAATTGACTCAAAATAGGTTAAACTGAAATGCAGAAAGAAGGGTGGACACTATGATGGGATGAGAATGCTTGGATTCAGATGCTTGATGCATACGTCAACTTCACACAAGCTGCAGTAAAACATGCCCTCCTCGCTCATTTGCTGTTCAGGAGATAGTTTAGGAGAGTTACACCAATCACACACATATTTGACAGGGTACCAATCCAAGAGAAGTGCCAACAGAGGCACATTGTAGCAAGGCAAATTCTCTCTTTCAACTCCACTATATGAGCTCTCCATGGTGGCATCTTTGGTGAAGCCCCTATCCAGTTGGTTTTCTCTTGGTGTTCCGGAATTCATTTCCACAATTGAGGTCCCATTTCTGAATTTATTAGGGTAAATCTCTTCCTTGCAGTCCTCTACTTTAAGATATTTCTTAGATCTGAAAATACCTGGGTCCCCAGGATCTGTTGCAGCACACCAAGCATATAAAGGAAATACACAGGTAATCTGACAAGAAGAACAAATAGTTATCGTTCTCTGCTTTGGAACCATTATCATCATAAACAAAATTTAACAGCAAACGACGCTCTCACCTTGGAAGATGGACATAAACTAAAATACTCAAGGAAGAAGAACAAAGAGATGCCAATGTGGTATCTCTTACAAAGCCAGTGTAGAGCCCCATGATCACATATTGAAACAACTTCTTTCCAACAAATGAGACAATGAACACATAGAAGGCAAACCCTAGAGCCACAAACACAGCTATGTCTACCACCTACAGACATAAAGCACCAAACCATAACTCCTCTGAAGGAAGTAACAACAATAAATTGAAATGAAACAAATAAACACTTTAACATACCTGAAGAGGGGTAGGGGAGCTGCCACCCATGCTTCCTCATTGTAACTTCTGCTTGAAGGCCTAATGTTAATGCTTGAGATGGACCAAAGATCTGATGTGGAGAAACCAAGAAAAAAAAGGAAAGTTGTCTTATACTTCCTTTGATCTCTTTTTCTCAGGACAGGAGTGGTTGATCACAGCACAAACAAGGTTGCAATGCTCGACCCTCAGGAGTGACAGCCATAGCAATGCTAGGAAGGAGGAAAGGGGAGATTTTGGCCCTTTCTGAAGCTCCATGAATCCACTGGGTGACTCATTTCTTGTCATTTCCTCGTCCTCGGTGTGGGCTCTCCCAAGGTAAAGGTGGAATCAAGAAGTAGCTGAGTAGACTCTGCCTTCTTTGTCACCTGTAGCCTCACATGATAACACAAGTACCTTTTGTCAGCAGAACATGATGAATTGCATGTCTATTCATGAAGAAATTGCAAATATTGTGTTCACAGCATATTATATGATTGTAATTCCCAAATTTCCCCTTCTGTAACTCCAATACTCCACCCCTGCTTTCGGATGAGAGGGTGGATTTGTGTTGGGCTAAGAACAAAACATGGGACTGAGATCAGGTCAAGGAGAAGAGACAAGGCTGTCATTCCTGGTTGCGTGAGGACTCAAGACTCACCAAAGATACATAACACGGGTATTGACATCTTCAACTGCACGTTGGAGACGTCCCTACCTGTTCAGTAGCTTGTTCTTACACTTGTCTCAGAACAAGAAACAGGTGGATGTACAATGGACCCAAGATTCTGGGGGGTGACAAGCCCCTCACGAAGGATTAAGCACTTCAAGATCTTACTCGGATTCCATGTTCAGAACAGAATCATCAACAACGCACACACAATCCTGTGATGGTGGAAGGTGATTGCCACAAGCCAAGACCTCTCTTGTTTGTCTCTCTGCCGGTGAGAGTTCAGCTTTCATATTCCATCAGGTCTACATTGTCATAGTGGGAAAAAGAGCATTGCAGTTTGTTCTGCTCTTTACTGCGTTCAAGGAGCAACAGCGACAGACTCCCCCCATGGCTTTCGGCACTGCCAGTCGTGCGCTTTCGGCCAGTACGTCGCACAGCGCAAACCTGTGGGGCATTTGATGCAATGCATGCATGGAAAAGATGAAGAAAGCTTGGTTACAGTACAGAACAGCGCATTACATTGCATGTGAGGTTGCGAGACTATCGAAACTGTATCATATCAATGTCATGGGAGTTGGAGGACAGCCTGCCAAATACATGCTTGCAGACAATAAGCAAACCCATCTGCAACAGAGAGTTTCTGAAATGTTCCTCCTTGAATGAGTACCAAAGGGGCATGAATTAAAGAATCCCTCTCTTTTGTAAACATAGAACAAGAACAACCATCGAAGGAATATGATTTCTTGGAAAACGGCCTGTTTAGGAACAATTGAAAACATAATTGCAATCTTCAAGAAACAATTCATCACACAAAGAGAAAAGGCTTCAAGATGCAAAAGATGCACCAAAACTAAAAGAGGCTTCCTTTGGGGAAGATCCATTCTTTCTTATTAGAAAGTTCGATGCTCTTTGCATGAGATTTAGGGGGAAAAGATCCGATCTTTGCAACCATAATTAGATCGGCGGGGTCGAAAACGACGGCAGCGCAAGAAAGATCCGATCTTTGCAACTACAATTAGATCGGTAGGCTCAAAGAACCGGGAAATTAGGTGAATCGCAGGGGCGCCTCAATCCCTTCGACTCCATGAGCCCTCTTCCGATCATCGAATCCACCGCCATCGCTGCCGCGCGGGGGCGAAGCCGGGAGCCGGGACGAGAAGCAGCGGTACCGGAGCTGCTCGGCGCTAGCGGGAGACTCGCCCTGGGACCCCTCGTCGAAGTTGAGGGCGTAGCTAAGGGGGTCGTACCTGAAGTCGGCGGAGTGGTGGCGCCGGTGCCTCCCCCAACGGCAGTGGGAGACCAGGGCCCGGCATTTGCAGCAGTTATCCGGCAGCTCGTGCGCCTTGGATCGGATCCACGACTTGGGCGATCGGATCAGCGGCCGGGCGGCGCGCTCCCCGTATGGGGATTCCGGGTCCCCGCCGTCGCAACCAGCGACGGGGCGGAAACAGGACGTGAAGCAGAGGTGGTGGTGCTTCGCCTTCAGCGGCGGGGTAGGCGGCGGTGACGCGGAGAAACGGTGATCGTACTCCATCCTCTTGCAGGGGATGCAGTTATGAACACAGCCCCCCTCCATATTATAATGACAAACTAAACCTGAATTAAGATTTGGATTTAGAAAGGATAAAAATAACCATTAAGGAGCATAATATATTGAGATTTTAACTTGAATTGAGGACAACCACTAATTCAAAATTTCAAATACCTATATTTTTTTATAAATATAAAAATAATAATAATAATAATTATTATTATTATTATCAAGGTGATGGTAGATTAAATTTGACGATTAATCCAATTTTATTGTTAATGTGAGATCAGATCTTGCTAGATTTAAAGGTCGAAATGATGGAGAGGACAGAGTTGGAGTGATTCTTGAGATATCACATCAATTTTACCTACGATATTATTTTTTTTTCAGTTTATCTTATTTACACATTTAATTTTCCGTTTGTTAAACTTAATGTAACTCATACTATTAAAATAGTTTATTTGGTTTATGTGATTAGTTTGTTATTCATTACTAATGTAAAGAGGTAAAGGAATTTTGAATTCTAATTGTGATTATTAAGCGAAAATGATCATACGATCATCAAAGTACAAAATTATCATTTGGTGTCATATTTTTCCAAGTAAAATGAGATTATCAGGTTAAAGTTGTGCAATTTATAGATTAATTTTGATAGAATTGATATAAAACAATCTTCATGTCTCCATAGTAATGATCAATAATTAAATTGAAATTTAAGTCAATTCTGTAAAATCAGATTTAGCTTAACCCGAAATCGGAAAGATCTTGATTTACACAATCGATCTTGATTATATTTGTTTAATTTTGAGAAGCATAGGCTAATCAATCTTGCAAAACACTTATGAGTAGTGCATCTCGAGTCCAAATTCCAACAACTTATCGGTGTTTAACACAAGACATTGATAACAGTGTACAAATCTAAACCGATATCGACACTCGAAACATACATGATGGTCAATGGATGATACAAGCATAAAAAATAATTGTGCAAACTAATAACAAAATGAATAGTGAGCCGAATTCTGAAATGAACAGAGATTTATGCGATCCGCAGCTTCTGCTCATCCATAGAGTACACAGGGACCGTCGGAGGTTCGTTCGACAACGGCTCGTCGAGGTGAACCTTTGCATACTCGCTCACCATTCCCCGTCTCTCATCCCAGAATAGTTGCTTCCTCTCCTCTTCGGCCTTCTCCACCTTCTCCTTGGTCAGGATGCTAACATCCTCAGCTGCCTTCATTACCTTACCGAGTGCACTTGATAACCATGATGCTCCAGTTGAGACATATCGGTTGCTCATGATGGCTGATCCAGCATTGGTGGCTGTTTGCTCAGCGGAGGCAAGGGCCGACCTCGTGATCTCAGTTACCTGGTATCGCTCGTCCACCTCCCTCACCTTCCCACTGACCATGGCCATGCCTGTGCTTAGCTTCTCACTCAGCCCAATCCTCTGATCCAGAGACACGACGGTTGCTGAGGCAGTGGATAGAAGTTGGTGCTGCTCGTCAAAGGCTTTCGCTCTCTGGAGTGCATCCTTGCTGAGAACAAAGCCCTTGGCCAACATGCCACTTACCACATCCTCCGCCTTCTTCACCGCCTCATTGGTAGGTGAGGAGTTTCCATCCTTTCAAGAATAAGTACATGTCACAGTTAAAAATGTAATTAAAAAGGGGATAACTTCGCAGGTACCAAAAGTCATACTTTGATGAAAACACAGGAACTAAAGGTCTATAATTGCTGATCAAACAAATAATAATTTTTTCCTGTATATTACATTTTAAACATACATTTAGAACCAAAGAACGAAATCGGCTTTGGATGTAGGATCCAGTGGCTTATCATATGTTTATGCTTGAACTTTCTGACAACAGATACACAAATTGCATACAAGATTACAAATTTTATCTGCAGCTTCAATTAGAAGGCCAGTTGTTAAACCATTTATACGCTATAATTAATGAAACCTTCTAACTTTCTAGCAATCTAGGACCCTCGTTTTCTCATGACATTTTATCATTCCCACCTAGTTCATAAACAAGAGAGTCACAAATGCACGTTTTCCTCCAAATTCCAATGGACCCTTGACCAAATACTTAAACAAAAAAAAGTTCCCCAATCTAACCAGAATTTTTGACTCTGAAAATGTATAATCAACGATGAGAAATGGCATAATATAGGTTTATCTTGAAACCATTTGACACAGCTACATATGCAATAAGAAATTGAGCACCATACATGACATTTTAGTTCTTCTATTGGAAGAAATTCCTAGGCATGGAAAAAATCATAAATATTATTTTCTGTTTGGAGTGTATGGTGTTCTCGTGCAAATATCACTAAAAACAAAAACAGAGAAATAGTAGAGACCTACCAGCATGTGTCTGTAAGCTTCAGGAGGCAACTTGTAATTCTCAGCTGGAGTTATATTAACAGAACGATCAACTATTGTTGCTCCCTGTATATATATACAACAAATAGTTTACCAAGGATTCCCATATTTTATATACCAAAACTGTATTGCCATAAACAATTCTGTTTTCAGAAAATATGCAGAAGAAAGCAGCAGTTTATATCTAGATGAACTCACTGTGAGAAGCATTGCAGTTTCTGCTCCTTGTGAGTCTCTAAAAGTGACATAAGCAAGTTGAGTATCTTCTGATTCACTGCAAAAAGAGAATCCCTATTTCACAATCATTTCCTACCTCCTAACGATAGAGATATTAGAGGTACAAAGAAAGGATAAATGATTGACCTTTGCATTTCAACATAATCGATGTCCCCAGAGAAGGAAAAGAATTCTTGAATGTCCCTTTGAGATGCAGACAAGCAAATGTTACTAATTTTCACTGTTTTTGCCTGCAAAATGATGAAAAAGAGCTCAGTAATAATTCAGCGATGCAACACATACCCTCTACAATCTAAATGTCACAAAAACTACCAACCAAACAATTTATCACATCTCAATAGAGCATGATTTGTCCATCTCATCAAATTTATTAAATAAGTCATGCTGAATAAGACTTAAAGGCCCTAACATGGGAGCAACTAAAGACTAACCAAATGAACATTCTTTTTTAAAAAAACAGAAAAGAGATGGTAGTTAACATGTTTAATAAATTCCTATCAACATTAAATCATGAACTGCCACTCAATAGAGTTGCATCTAATGAACCCTAATAACTAATGGAATCAGCTAGGAAGTTAAGCATTTCCTCCATGGAACTGTTGACAAAAATAAAAAAGAAAATAATTTAACTGTCCCATCTGAAATGTCAATTTCCAATTTGGTTGAATAGTCATTTGAGGATTCATTGACATCCTAAAAAATTATCGATCCAGTTGCTGAAACAAGATGTTCATTAGGTTCTTCACCCTTGGGGTGAACCCCTTACTCTAATAGGATTTTGAAGGTAAATAATTAACTGAGACAATTATGCCCTCTCTGAGTTGGTGAAATTATTGAATGTGATCTGCATAATCCGATGAGGCATATTGGCAGAACAAAAAATCAAGCTAACTCAAGATTCTACAAATTATAATGTCAGAAACATCTTGTACATTAGTGCCTTTTGCATGCTAAAAGGACTATTGATCTATACAGAAAAAATAATGATAACAATTGGCACAAGAAATAGTGACCTTACTGAAAATTTTGCAATGGACAATAAATTCTTTAGGATGAAATTTTACATCCATACCACATACTTAACTAATCTTACTGAAATAGTCTTATTGCATCATCTAACAACTTGGTTAATCAAAAGAGAAAACTAGTTGGCTCAAAAGGACATGAAATCAAGCTTCCTAAAAATTGATCTGCCAAGATGAAACAATGCAACTAGAAAATGAGATGTAACTTGAGATTATACTGTTGAAATATAATCACACAGTCATTATATGTAATAAAATTGTTGACACTACATACCCTGTGTTACTTCTAGCTCTTGACATTTGGTAACAGTTATTCGACTTCTTAGTAGTTCAATGAGTTATGTTATTGTCAAAGTGGCATGTTTATTTTCATGTTTCCACAGAGAAGTTCTCCAGTTTAACAGAAGCATCTAGGAAAATTATTATAATCTGCAAAGGATCAAAACAAATAAAATAATTATTATGTACTTCATGCGTCATAATCCAACAACTGAAACTGCCCTGTTCTTGATGCCTGGGAGGGATTCTGTACAATGGTATTGTTTGTGTGATATTGTCTGACCAAACTGAGAAAACCTAGGTTGTCTTGCTGCAAGTTTACAGGAAATGCTGATAGAAATGGATCCTGCCTCTCCCCTTGCCTGGATTATGATCACAAATAGAACAAGACTAGAAGCTGTAATTGTTGGCTCTACCAATCAGATCGGAAATCTCTAGATGAGAAAAAAAATGCCTCGATCGTCTTAGCCATCTTGATCGGTAAACACTCAGATTCATATAGTTATTAGAGTTCAGTTAGGCTACATTAGCTATTAGATATTATCAAGTAGAGAGCAATCTCATTCATTTTCACAGTATTACTGATGTGGCCAAAGAAAAAGAGACAATTACAAACAACAATAATGTGAAAAATTGTCACGGCTAGCTGCACAAAATATACATATATTATGAGATGAAACAATAATATGACTTACACATTTAACAATAGATTACAATAATTGGTACAGAAAATCAAGTCAGTAAAAGAAGAAAAGGTAAGTAGAAAAAAAAATTACAAGCTACAAGACAAAAAGTAAGCTCCTCAATAAAACTAACCCATTTGTCAAAAGACTAGAGAGTATTCCTTTGCTGAAATGATTGGTAGATAATGCAACGGAGAAGCTTTCCTCTTTTTGTTGAGAAGAAATGGTCTGTCTACTACTCTTCAAAAGTCAATACACATTAAGTTTTAGCTCACCATTTTGGCTTTTGTGACAAACAAAGGATATATTTTGCTGATTGTCACAAGTGCCTCAAACACCGTGTTCCTTTCACAATTATCCAATATAGAGGTTTACTAGCTAACCGTAGATTTGATCCCAATAATTAGGATGACACATTGCAAGTCAATGTCTAAAATCTACGATGCAAATTGAATTAGACGCATTCCACCACAAAATCTGACCTTGTATCCGAATGAAGTATAACAAGCTACTTGAGGAGCTCATTGGTGAATCATAGTGAATCTTCTAATCCCGTACAACGAGAAAGGAAGTCGAACATCCACACGATCAGATCTAGATCTATGCAAAGTCACCGCATCTTTTTTCCTTAACCTTCCTCGTAAATCTTCTCTGGCATCGAATATGCTGAACCAAAATTATCTTTTTCTGACCCAATTCGATGCACACCATTACTACCTAACGATCTAGAACTCGTAGTCAGAATCCTCTCATCCATTCGCGCAACCACGTAAGATCTAGACACAAACATGAATATTCTCCCATCGGATCCAAGACGAGTAACATCGGATCTCACGACACCACGAATAAAAATCACAGACGGAAAGGGCAAGAAATTGGCTGGATCAGATACTCACCGACATTTTCCTGGATCTGGAGATCGAATTCGTCGGCAAAAGCAGGGACGAGAGAGCAGGCGAGAACGACGGAGGGGTTCGATCCAAACCGCCGGCACAATAAAAGCAACCCAAAAGGGGGAGATCAGAATTCGGAGGGTTACGTGACGATCTGGTCCACGGGTCATTTGAAATGTTCGGTTCCTCTTCAGCCTCGAGATTAGTGTTATCCGTCGTATCGGTTCGGATGGGATACCTTTGACAGAAAATTATGATTTGAACAACCAAATTTTAAGCTTTCCGAGGATAGGATAGACTTAAAATTCTAAATTTGATAGGTACATATATTAAATTATTTTTTTATAATTTTCTAGAAAAGTTGGACTTTTGTTGGGAGATGCCTTCATTTGTAAGTTTCCTAAGCCAATAAATATAGTTTTTTATTTAGTTTCTATATTTAGTTTTTTTTTCCTAAACCAATAAAGAAGATATAAGTTGGTTTCCATTCATTTTGAATTCATTTACCTTTGTTACATTGATTTTGAATTCATTTTATCTCATTTACATTATTTAAAATAAATTTATAATATTTCAATGGAGATATCAAAAACACTAAAAATCTATTAACTACAATTATAAATCTTATATATAAGAATTAATAATAGTACACTAATCTTAATCTTACATACCATATGAGACCAATTACAGTGACAATTGGCTCCATATATAATAAGACACTCCAAACATAAGTATAATGATACGACAACCACTACGAAACCTTAGCATTGTGATCCGGAAAGAATCCCTCTCTCTCTCTCTCTTCCAACAGAGCCCCCAATTAGGCCACAGCAGGCATGTCCTTTAGCCAGGGATCCAATGGCTTCCCGATCGAGTACACGATGAATCCCATCTCCCTGAGCTTCTCAGGATCCACCACATTGCGTCCATCGAAGATAAAGGCAGGCTTCTGCATGTTCTCGTAGATCTTCGAGTAGTCCAGTCGCTTGAACTCGTCCCACTCGGTCAGGATGCAGACTGCGTGTGCTCCCGTGGCGGCCTCGTAGGCGTCCCAGGTCACGGTCACCTCCTTCACCGCCGTCGGGCTCATCGGCTGGAGGTGGATGGGGTGATCCCAGTCGAACTTGTTCATCGCAAGATCCCGCTGGATCTGGTCCTCCGTCACCTGCGGATCGTAGATGCTAATCTTGGCCTTGTCACCCAGCAGCCCCTTGCAGACGTCAACGGCCGGCGTCTCCCTTGTGTCGCCGGTGTCCTTCTTGAACGCGAACCCGAGCACAGCAATCTTCTTCCCAGCAACAGTGTTGAACATGGAGGAAACAACCCTGTTCACGAACCGGCTCTTCTGGTAGTCATTGATCTTGATCACTTGCTTCCAGTAGTTGGCCACCTCAGGGAGGCCATTGCACGCGCAGATGTAGACCAAGTTCAGGATGTCCTTCTGGAAGCAGGAGCCACCAAATCCGACGCTTGCGTTCAAGAACTTAGGCCCGATCCTGCTGTCCTTTCCGACGGCGTAGGCCACCTCCGCCACGTTTGCCCCGGTGGCCTCGCAGAGCGCCGAAATGGCGTTCACCGACGAGATCCTCTGCGCTAGGAAGGCATTAGCAGCGAGCTTGGATAGCTCAGCTGACCATAGATTGGTCGTGATGATTCTGTCCTCGGGAACCCAATTGGCATAGACCTCCTTGAGTGCTTGGACGGCCTTCTGCCCCTCCGGAGTCTCCCTCCCGCCGATAAGCACCCGGTCGGGGTTGAACAGGTCCTGGATTGCAGTACCCTCTGCGAGGAACTCTGGGTTGGAGAGGATCTGGTAGCTTATGCCTTTGCTGTTGTGGGTCAAGATCTTCTCGATGGCCTCGGCGGTCTTAACGGGGACCGTGGACTTCTCCACCACAATTTTGTCGGACTTTGAGACGTCGGCGATCATGCGAGCAGCACTCTCCCAGTAGGTAAGGTCAGCAGCCTTACCGGCGCCGAGGCCACGGGTTTTGGTGGGGGTGTTCACCGAGACGAATATGATATCGGCCTCACAGACATGCTTTTCTACGTCAGTGCTGAAGAAGAGGTTCCTCCCTCGGCACTGCTTCACGACGTCTTCAAGGCCGGGCTCGTAGATCGGGAGCTGATCGCTGTTCCATGCAGCGATGCGGGTGACGGAAATGTCGACGACGGCCACCTCGATGTTGGGGCATTTCAAGGCAATGACGGCCATGGTTGGGCCACCGACATAGCCGGCACCGATGCAGCAGATCTTCACCATGTTTGCGTTCTAGACACTCTGAAACGATTGAACCAACAGCAGCAGCAACGAATCAGAAGATGCAAACATTTCCAGATCTAAATCATGCAAACATCAGATCTGACGTAGCTAATAGAAGATCTTGAGAGCACATGATAAAGATTTAGTCATAGATCAGATCTAAAAATGCACAATCCGGAAGTGCCAATTCCAGAACACCTGCAGAATTGATTCAAGTAAAAGCAGCTACCAGCTCAACATCCGTGCAGATCCGAACTAAAAGCTTTGAGATGTGCGGATCTGGGACAGATCTAACTCATTTCTTTGATCAACAGAGTGGCAGTAAAAGATCTGTCGATGGGGAACACTAATTGGATCCACCCAAGATCCTGTCCCAGAGTCTTGTCCACGGAAGAAGCCCACAAGGGCCAGCACAATGAAGGTACTATAGGTGTTTAGCAATTGAACCAAAGTAAAAAAGCTTCAGATCAGGTCAGGACATTACCTTCTGAGAGACTCCCACCTTTTTCTACAGAGGAAGATCTGAGATCACAGAAAAAGGGAGAGGGAGGGACAGAGAAAGAGAGGAATTCTCTGTGGAGAAACAGGAAGAGGTCTGCACCTCCTTAAATAGAGAGAAGAGACCCTCCTCCCAATACTTCCATGTGAGATCTAATCCATGATGGAGTGAGAGGCAACAAGCACTTCATGATCTACCAAACATCAATTTTTTTATTATTTTATACATGTTTTCTGACTGAAAATTCAGACAGAATCCCAACATTTAAAATGAGATATACAAGAAAAGAAACAATCAAACAGTCACATGAACAAAGACAGATTCCTCCAGAAACAATCAAACACTCCCAGGACAGTCACTGCTTGTTACTGCATCAGAGAAGAGTTTTCTGTTGTAAGCCAAATCTCTCTCTTATACAAAGCCTCCAAAAACCAACAACAAGACCATTTCTTTGAGATTGAAACGTAACAATCAACAAGCTTAAATCAATCTGTTCTCTGACCAAGGTTTCAATATATTTTATGATATAGCTTGTTTTTTTATTGAAATTTACCTATTTTGTATGTGAAAAAGTAGCCAGAGAAAGCTTAAGAACTCAGGAAAGGCAAGTGAAGGCTGGTGCTCAGATCCCAAGTTAAAGAAAAAGAATGACTTGGAGAATTTAATTGGAAACAGAACAGAAGAAGGCAGATAGTATTTATAATATCAACCTTCATGCATCAAAATCTGTAGATATATAGAGTATCTATAGAGCAACAGTGTCTCTTGAAAGGATGGATAGCTCCAGGATTGCTGATGATCGCCCTGACAGATGTTGATGCCTAACAGTTAAATTGCCTTCTGTAGATGATCCCACCGGAAACTGATGAAGGATGAATGATCGGCGGTCGATGGCGAGGTCGAGGTCGCGCGCTTGGTCGTCACGTTCAGGGCGCGATGCCACGGCGACGGCGAGGGCCCGCCGGTCAACCTGGGCGAGGCCGTGAACGTGTGCGCCATGAACGCGCTGGCCCGGGCGGCGGGGAGGGGACCTTGGAGTTCAAGGTGGAGGGGTGGGCGTTCAATTTGTGTGTGTATATATATATATATATATATATATATATATATATATTACATGTATATATACATGTATATATGTATATATGGAAATTTCTGGGTTGAATTAGTGTATGACTTTATATATATTAATTCTGACTAATGTGACTCACTCATATTTATGTGATTTTTTTTTTCGCACATAAGTAATGAAATTTTAGTTACCAAAATAAACTGTTTGCTTAGGATAAAATTATATATATTAATCATTCTAAATGTTTCATGCATGATAGAGATACATTTGGAGACATGATAGTACAATCAACATAAAGATGATAGAGATATCTCACTCAATAATTGAATCATATAGACATTAATTTAATATAAAATATCAAAAAATATTTTATTTATATCATAAAATATTTTTTAAAATTAAGTTGATCGTAAAAGTTAATCAAATAATGATGATCAGAATCATTTACTGTTTTTGTAAAATATTTATTTTTTATTTTGAAACTAACTAAAGAGCGAGAGGGTAATCAACTTTGATCTTTATGCGTTCGACTCGATTCAGTTATTACTAATATTCCTAATATTAGTATATCAAATTTATTTTTAAATTTTAAATAAATAAATTATATGTTAAGGATTAGACCTATGATTTCTCTCTCATAATTAAGTTCCAATTTATTTTCTAGAAATTACTTAGACACTTAATTTAATGATGAACTAAAAGAAAAATCAAATCAACTAACTAGCATGTCACATTTATATTTGAGACGATAAAAGATCAATAATTTTATTATCGTATAATTTTACATGAAAAATATTCATCCTCAATTAGGGTTTCACTCATAGCGATCCAATGTATAATAACGTGGAGACCATCAATACACAATTATGAGCATTCACAAAATATGAAATATATAAAAAATATTTTTTTCTCGTATTATAAAATGTTTTTCAGACTAAATCAATTATAAAAGCAAACTAGGCCACATTAATCGAATTCATCTTACCTATACTCCCTTTTACTCTCTTCTATTCTAGATTTTGCATCGTACAGGGCTAAGCTATCACTCGCATCTTGCCAAATCTAACTCATCTATTATGTTTGAGGCCACAAAAAGTAGGAAATCTAACTCTAAACGTCTGACTATTGTGTAGAGTTCAGTAGCTTATTCTTGATGTGTCACTCTCTCTTTCTTCCCTTTCTTTCCTCGTGTTTGGTGAGGACTGCTTCATCTGTGTCTCTGTGTGTTTGCCTTCTCCACATCGTCTTTTTGTACACACAAATCTTTCTTTATACGCCCAACGCTTCTTTCTCATCGGTACCATAAATCTGCACGTACTTCTAACACGAAATCATGCCCATAAAATCTACAATTACTATGGATATATTCTATCTGTTTAGTATTTATGGATAAAGATTGACTGACATGGATGCCAGTAAAATGATTTGACATCAATGGTGTCATAGCTCCAAGCTGAAGCAAACTGAGTCCCTAAAGCATATGAAAGATAAGAGTGTGACAAGCAATGAGGAAGTAGACATGAACATAATTTGACATGCAGAAGGTAAGATTTCATGTTCGAATCACCACCTTATTGTAGATTATGTTGGGATTTAGGAGGAGGAAGACAACTGCTTTGGTTGTGGCTACAGCACTTCAGCACCTTTCATGAATGAACCCACTCAACCACACACCAAGACGGGCGCAAAAGAGAGAGTACAGTGGGAAAGAGAAATCAGACAACCTATCTACATCACTGCTTTTTAAAGCTATTGTTCAAAGGTCACTGCAACTCATGCCAGCATTCTCTTCTTCCTCTCTCCCTTTCTGTTCTCCTGTCACCATACTTTGGTGAGACAACAACCACTCTCAGAACTCACTAATATCTGTCTCTCTTCTTTGTCAATGCTCATGGCTGGTCTACTGCTCCTTTTGCTTACTGTGTCTGCGTTTGGTGGTTCAGGTGAGCCAGTTATGCCTCCTTGGTATAGTGTTCTTTCTGTTCTTCCTGAACTTTGAGCACACAGATGGGTAGAGGAATGGCCTCCTTTTTTTCCTTTCCTTCTCTGCTTTGTTCTTTTGCCTTTTGGGAGGACAAATTTTTTTATGGTCTAAGGGGACTTCTAGCTGCAAAGGCTATAAATCTTCCCTCATTCTTCTCATCTTTTTCATTCTACACCCTGTGATGCCCCCCCGATCACAACCATGCACATTTTTGTTGTTCCTTTCTCTCATAGACTTGCTCTATGTCTTGTTATATATCCTTCAGAATGTATCAAGAATAGCTATTTGATCCTTTGGGTTTTTGACTGAAAGTTCAAGAGAACTGCACAAAGGTTGTTGCTTTTTTGCCGGTTGATGTACCATTTGATGCATGAACTGAAGACTTCATCTCTGTTTCCATTTTGTGTTGGAAGATGCTGCTTGGTGTGTTTGTGAGTCTGATGCGAGCACCACAGCCCTGCAGAAGACACTGGACTATGCCTGTGGAGCTGGGGCTGACTGCAATCCTATTCTGCAAGTTGGTGCATGCTACGACCCCAACACAGTGCTTGCCCATTGCTCTTATGCTGCCAACAGCTATTACCAGAGGAATGGGCAGGCGCAAACAGCCTGTGACTTCTCAGGAACAGCCATGCTTACCTCCACAGATCCAAGTAAATAGCCCTTTTCTTCCATATTAAATCACTACAGAAGTCAATCAAACAAGAGGTCCTTCTCATCCATCCTTCGGTTCTTGCAGGTGCAAATGGTTGTGTCTACCCTGCAACTCCCAGGTACAAAAGAGTGGACTTCTTTTTTGTTGAAATGGAGTTACATCGTTTGGAATAGAAAACTTATTATATTTCAGGGTTGCTGATACTTTTATGTGGTTATTGTAGATTTTTCCAAGGAAAAAATTAATCTCCCTAACCAGCATACCGATCTTCCTTGGAGTCAAAACTATAGCTTTTTTGGTGTTTCTTTGGTACAAAAATCTCCAGATTTTTTAGTTAACATCAGCATCCACCCTAACTTAGTTATTACAAAGAGAAAAAGGAAAAAAAAAACATCTTTTGTGGCTTTTCTTCTCCTCCCCCATTTGTTTCTGTGACATCCTCCAATACATGTTTGATAAGCTTTTAGCAGAATCTAACTTCATATGCCTCTTTGTTCTTCCAAGTGGGCACTGATTCACTGTGCATACCATCAGCATTTTGTAATTTTCATGTGCATCCAATGACTTGAAGTCTGATTTCCCTGTTGGTGAGTCATGGCCACAGGTTTAGAAAGTTTTTGTTGTTTGCATATGCTTATTGTCCTCATGTTAATTACACTTAGCTTTTATGATACATTTTAAGACCCGAGTCGCCGAATCTCCCACTCCTAAATGACCCCTAAAAAAGAAAAAAGAAAATAATTTTAGGCGAAAGCCATGGTGTGGTTCTGAGACTGATGGGATTGGCTAGGAAGGAGCTAATGAGTTAATTCAAGAAACGGATGAAAGGACTAACTAATGATGGAAGGAAAAGGGATTCATACCAAGAAAGAAGAAAGATTGCTGGTGTGCACTAGGAATGTGATCATAATTTGGACTAGTCCAAATTAAGACCAAATGTTTCTTATCTATTCATAGTCAGAAATCCAAGTATCTCTAGATTATTAATTGAATGATATGTTTTACCAAAAGGACATATAACCCCTTATGTGGAGTCGGCAAGTCGAGTCGAGCTCTAGTTCTGAACTATTGTTACATTGATTCACAGATCATGTTGCCAACGAATATGGGACATTAAAAGTAAATAAAAGCAACTCGTGAACTGAAACCGATTTGCTGGCTAAAATCTAAACAACAACTCCTACTTACCATATTGCAATAGATGAAGCTAGAGAATCATTGCTCGACATTTAAAACAAGCTGCAACAACATTCTACAAATTATATGCTTCAAATTTTTATTGACCATGAATTCCCTGTTATTGTGTGCATTTGTTGAGCACAAGCATGGCAGCACCCTACTCATCCTGGAACAATCAAAATCCATGGTATAATAAGCTTGCCGATCTTCCTCACCGAGTGCATTTAGACAAAACTCTATTGCAGCTCTTTGCTACTTTAGGCCATAGCAATTGGTTTTAATGGATTTTTATGGGTAGCTTATATAACCTATATTTCTCTCTCGTCCTGTATTTCACATCTCGTTCTTCTGAAAACAAAAAAGAAAAAGGGTAAAGAATATGGTCAGCTGTCAAAAGCTTTGCTTTTTTGAATGGTGAGGGAGACCATTGCACCATAAAACAAGCTATAGAAGTGACTTTGCTTAATTACGTGTACAAAGCAATGAAATTTTATCGGAAGCTGAAAGTGATTAGTTCCTAACCATATACTTCTCCATTCTATTTTCCATGCATCAGTGCTGCAGCAACCTCAAGCACACCAACAAGCGCAAGCACTACGCCAAGCTCAGCGATACCAAGCACCTTCAGCCCACTGACAAGCAACACAACCAATGGAGTACTGGGAGGAATAGGCCCTTCGGGAACAACAAGCAGCTTGGATGGCAGTGATGGAGGTTTGCTCCGAAAGGCAGGGATAGGCTCTCTCCTAACTGTTCTCCTTCCAATACTGGTTCTACTGAAGGTATGATTTGGAAGTGTACTCTCGGTCATCGGATCCTGAGAAGAAAAGAGTGGTTGAGGTGTGGTAACCAATGCATGTGATCACAGGTTCTGATTCCTTGTGCTTGGTTGGTATGGATTGGTAGGATGGCTGTCCCTTTTGGTCATGGACCCTTGTCTGCTTATTTTCTTTTCCTTTTTGTACATCGTTTTAGGGAAGTAGCAGTTCATCAATTGAAACAGGCTTTGTTGCTTTGCCTTTTAGACTACGGAGCTGTTCTGTTTGATGTCTATCTTTTATGTGGGTTGTCATGCAGCTGTAATCTCTAATCTTTTGCAGGAATCCCTGTCCTGTTCATGACTTTTATCGGTGTGATCAAATTAGATATGCCGGTTTATCTTTCGATAAGACAAGTATCGGTTTGTGTTTACCATCGGTGAAATGGATCAAAAGGCACTGAAGAAGACAATCAACTGAGAAGGCACTGAAGATTGTTCCTTCATAGCTATACTCTGATAATATCATTCAATTGTTAGTATGTGGATTGAGATCCAACTCCTGAACTGGGCATTGTTCTTCTATGTATGATGTCTCTAAGTTTCATCTGTTGTGCACCTAAAGTACAAAAACAGTATTTATTGTGGCCTTTATTCAGAAGATTTTTTTTATGTTGACATATTAGCCGAGGCATTTCAATACATTGTATTTCAAATGCAGGACAGGAGACAAAGTAGGATGAGAAAATTACAGTATTGTATTTATCGCATTCAAATATAAATTCTGAAAGTAGGAGCTTCCGATATTCCGAGTTTTGTCATTATCAACTCGATATTTATTTGGATGTCTTGTTAATCCGACATGATAATTTAAGTATCAAATGAGTTTTTTATTTCTTATTTTATATTTGTATGTTATTGACAGTCGAGTTTTATGTATGTATGTATGTGTATATATATATATAAGGTATGTATGTATAAGGTGAAGATTGAAAAACATATTACGATTAATTTCACATCGGTAAAAATTAAGAGAGTTGAGTGAGTCTAATTGACAACTTAACCAGGTTTAATATTTTAAGTTGAATTGATGTCCAATCTAACCTAACATATCCTTTCTCAACGCTTTGATCGCTAATAATTTACGAGAGCCGACACTAAATATAACACAAAATCAAAAATTAACGCGCCACATCATCAGTCAGAACTCAAGTCGTGACTTGAGTTGTCGCACGTAACCGGCGCTCTGGAGCCCATCCATTCAGAAGCAGAGCCCACTCGTCGGCACGAATGAAGGGCGTCAGGGAAAAAGGAAGGGGAGCATGGCCTTCTGAGGTGACACCGACACCAGGACAAGCTCAAAGCTGTACCATCCCCCAGCCCCATAGTTCTTCCTTTCCCTTTTTCCTTCTCCGCCTCTTCCTCCACCAGCAGCAGCAGCAGCAGCAGACAGCGATGGGCAGAAGCAGCACCAGGCTGCCGAGCTTCTGTCTCAACCGCATGTCCCCTGGTGTCAGGGTCAGATCTCCGCCGCTCGAACCGAAGCCGCCGCCTTCTCCCGAGTCCGGTCAACTCCACCACCACGGGAACGCGAAGCAGCCGGGAGACGGAGCTGAGGAAGAAGCCCTACTCGGCCGAAGGATCATGATAGTGGTGGACTCCAGCCCGGAGTCGAAGACCGCTTTGCGGTGGGCGCTCTCGCACTCGGTGCAGAGCAACGACAGCATCGTCCTCGTCGACGTTGTCAGGCCACCCAAGCATGGTGAGAGTCCGCCCGCCTCTTGACATGGATGTGGAGCAGGCAAAGAAGTCGTATGACAATTTTCCTCTTCAATATCAGGTGAGCAATCTGGGAAGGAGAGGGATCCAAAGATCTACGAGCTTCTGCATTCCATGAGAAGCGTTTGCCATGCGAGAAAACCCGAGGTAAACATGCTCTGCTCTTCGTGGCCCTTACTCTGTTGAAGATTTTTGCATCGTCGTGTGCTTCAATGCCAGAGAAATCAATCGACAGCGTCTTTCCAGGTCCAAGTGGAGCTGTCTCTGGTGGAGGCGACGGAGCGAGGTCCGGCGATCGTGGAAGAGGTCAGGAAGCAGGACGCGTCGCTCCTCATCATGGGGCAGAAGAAGCGGTCCCTGACATGGAGACTGGTCATGATGTGGGCTGGCCGCAAGGTGGGAGGCAGCGTGGCGGACTACTGCGTCCAGAACGCGACGTGCATGGCGATGGCGGTGAGAAGGAAGAGCAGGAGAGGCGGCGGCGGATACTTGATCACCACCAAGCGTCACAAAGATTTCTGGCTCTTAGCCTAAGCCCGCTGTATCATTCATTGCTCTGCTTCCTGTGGTGTATGTATGTAAAGAATGGAAGACGAAGTGTAGAATCCATGGCCTTGTTGTTCCTCGTTGCCGCTGCTGCTGCTTCACCTGCGAACCGTGGCTTGCTCTGTTTCATATGTCTGGTTCGGTGACGAAGAGAACGCCGTCTTCTCAGAAGTCCTTGCTTGCCAAAACATAGAAGAAGAAGATTAACATGCTAAAATGTCGGGTATAAGAAATGATGAACATAAACATACTAAAACATAGAGGAAGATGAATGGTTACATGGAAAGACTTATTATATGATTGATTAAACTCGTAATAATATTAGGATCATTCATCCCAATATGATCTACTCATGCGATGTATTAATACATTAATATTATCCACGTAGCGATGCTGTCTGTGGTGGTTTGCATCGGGCGGTCGCGCGGGAAATTCCCAACGGCCATCCGGAAATAGGAGGACTGTCACGTTGTTGTTAGATTTTTGCTATTTTTGTTTATTTTTCCTTCGTTTATTTCTTCTTTTTTCTGCTAATTTTCTGTTAATTTCCTCCGTCGAACAACGTGGACGGAGGATCAGAAATAGAAAGGCACCAGTAGAAATTGCAGGGGCGGAATTGGAGCGGGCGGTGGCTGGAGAAGGATGAAGCCGACGCCCCTCGCCACATCTCTCCCCCTCTTCCTTCCCTGAGGAGCGCCTGCACGCCCTTCTCCCAAGGAGCTCAGGCAAAAGTAGTATATCTTCTCTTCATCGATTTGTTTCCTCTGTGTATATGCGATTTGTTTCTTGCTTTGCGTACTGGTCTCGGTCAGAACCAACGTCGAGCACGTGGAGCGCAAGACGGAACTTTGTGTTTCCTGTTGATCATGAATTTTCTGGGAGGAGAAGACATGGCTTTACCTGATTTCTTTGTAGATGATGTTGTGATCGCGTTCTGCAATCTGCAGGTTGGGGTAGACGGGCGGTCGCAGGGAGGGCAGAGTGCTCTGCGCTCGAACTCCATCCTCGCAAAATGGCTTCATCCCCTGCGACTGCTCCGCCGCCCGACACCTCCACTCCGCCTGCTCCTCCCACCCAAGATGCGCTACCGCCATCCGATTCCCCGCCAGCGCCTCCTCTTGACTCATCGCCGCCGGAATCATCACCCGACGCTCCGTCTCCGTCGTCCCCAGATTCCACAGACGACCCGGACTCTCCATCTCTCGAGTCCTCCTCTGCCCCTTCATCGTCCTCCTCCAAGCCGTCTCGTCCTTCATCCTCGCCACATAAATCATCCTCCTCTTCACATTCAAAACATGACAAGGACTCACCAACGACCCCTTCGCCGTCGGACGGATCGTCAACACCAGCCTCGAGAAGCCCATCGTCCAAGTCGCTGCCTTCACAGATATCGTCATCAGCCACATCTCCGACGAAACATGATTCAGGCGTCAATCTGCCTCTCGTTTTGGGGATCACGGCAGGTGTGGGGATATTCCTGGTTTTGATGATCGTGGCTCTTGTGCTCTGCACCAAGAAGAAGAAGAAGAAGCAGCCCAACATGCACTATTATGATGGCCAGGGACTCAACGGTATTCAATAGATTACTTTGGATTCGATAGTCGTGAACCTGTTTGTATTAATTCCTCGGCCGTCGATGTGGTGTAGGTGGCTACTACCAAGCCGCACCGCTTCCAAAATGGCAAAACGGAGGCCAAGGGATGGACTACATGGGCCAGATCCCGCCACCTCCGGGAACGGCGATGTCGCCCGCACATGGGTGGCATCAGTCGCCGATGCCGCAGATGGCCAGCACCGACATGAGCGCGGCATACTCCGGCCTCCACGGGCCGCCGTTGCCGCCCCCTTCACCCAACGTCGCGCTGGGCTTCAACCAGAGCACCTTCACCTACGACGAGCTCGCCGCGGCCACCAACGGGTTCTCCCGCGACAATCTCCTGGGCCAAGGCGGGTTCGGGTACGTGTACAAGGGCGTGCTCCCCAACAGGAAGGACGTTGCGGTGAAGCAGCTCAAGTCGGGAAGCGGGCAAGGGGAGCGGGAGTTCCAAGCGGAGGTCGAGATCATCAGCAGAGTCCACCACCGCCACTTGGTCTCGCTTGTGGGATACTGCATTGCGGGGTCGCAGCGAATGCTCGTCTACGAGTTCGTACCCAACAACACTCTCGAGCACCACCTCCACGGTAACTCCCGCTGCTCATCGCTCAGGAACAGATCAAACACCTGAGGCAGAAGTTTATGACTGTTTGCTTGCTGTAACTTGGGTTTCGATTGCAGGGAAGGGTCTTCCGACGATGGATTGGGCTACAAGGCTCAAGATTGCTGTAGGATCAGCCAAGGGCCTCGCGTACTTGCACGAAGACTGTGAGTGCAACATCTTCTTCTCACGTCCTGTCTTCCCTCTTCATCAAGTTGCAGGAGTTCATTCATCTTTGTGCAGGCCACCCTCGAATCATCCACCGCGACATCAAGACCGCCAACATTCTCCTTGATAACAAGTTTGAAGCCATGGTAAGTCGACCTTGTCATAGATTCTGCTTCATGAACCAAGTTCATCATCTGGAAGAAGATTCGACTAGTGATTGAGCCGCACTTACAGGTTGCAGACTTTGGACTGGCCAAGTTATCCTCGGACACGAACACTCATGTCTCAACTCGAGTCATGGGAACTTTCGGGTAAGAGTTCCATGGACGAGCTGAGCTCTTCTCTTCCTAAAATGTGCAGTAGGACTCTGCTCATGTTGACGATCATGTTCTCGAGCCATGCAGATACTTGGCTCCCGAGTATGCATCGAGCGGCAAGCTCACGGATAGGTCCGATGTTTTCTCCTTCGGTGTGATGCTTCTGGAGCTGATAACGGGACGAAGGCCTGTCGACACCACGGGGGATATGGATGATAGCTTGGTCGACTGGGTCAGTGTGCCATTTCTGACACCTTTGTCTCCTATTACTGTTGATTTCCCAACTGCATTTGCTTCTGTTTTGATCTGTTTCAACAGGCGAGGCCGCTATTGGTCCGGGCATTGGCCGACGAAAACTTCGACGAGCTCGTCGATCCGCGGTTGGAGAACAACTACGATCCCGGCGAGATGGCACGCATGGCATCCAGTGCCGCCGCTGCTGTCCGACACTCTGCAAGGAGGCGGCCAAGGATGAGCCAGGTAAGAACGCCTTCACAGTTTCGACAAAGAGTAATGCATCATCGACGACACCCACACTCACCGTGGATGATGGCAGATTGTTCGAGCACTGGAGGGCGACATGTCGCTGGAACACCTGAACGAGGGGGGGAAGCCCGGACAGAGCACGTTCAACTCCAGCTCCGACTATGACTCCGGCTCGTACTCCTCCAACATGCGGCGGTTTAGGCAGATGGCGCTGGAGAGCACGGAGTACAGCAACGAGTACAGCGGCGCCACCAGCGAGTACGGGCTGAATCCGTCGGAGTCGAGCAGCTCCGGGGAGATGAAGAACTCCGTCGGAAGCCACAGAAAGAATTCTCCTCCTGGTCTTTGAACAATGAGGCCGTCCGAAGTTTCAATCATCTTATCTTAGTATGCATGTATTTGTATATATATGTATATATATATATATGTATATGTATATGTATATTTATACATATATATACATACATATATATACATATATATATATATATATATATACATACATATATATATATATATATATATATATATGTTCTGTACCGTTGATTACAGTTACATTGCCAAATGAAAAGAAAATATTTTATCTTATGATGGTTTGTTTGATCGAAAGCATATATCAAGCGTTTGTAGTCCAACGGTTAGGATAATTGCCTTCCAAGCAATAGACCCGGGTTCGACTCCCGGCAAACGCATCCAATTCCTTAAATTTTTTGGTTGACGTTTTTGTTAGTATTATTCAAGGAGTTGGACGCTGTCATTGATCACATGATCATCAAATCATTTGGTCCTAATAGTTTATTTTCTTTGCCTTCTAATGTAGAACAAGAAGGGCAAAGCTCTGACTACTGTGAGATCAGAGGGAGATCAATATTATACAGAAATCTCCCTAATATGGCTGCACCAACAACAGTCATACAATATCAATTTCCAATGTGTAGTAATACATCAAGAGGAATAAATACTTATGAAGCTGATCAATTATTAAAAGATAATGTTACATTTGATAAAAGTAAGAGCTGCTTGTTCATTCATCTTGCTAATTAAATAAAGACATATCACCTCAAAAGAATCTTAAACAGAGAAATGAAGTGTAGATACAAAAATAGCAGTATTCCACTGACTGATCCATTCCTCAGCTAATGCTTACACCGGCTGATTCGAGTGTTTATCCGCAACAATTTTCTTCTCCTATTGGCCTTCAGCAAGTGGAATCCATGCGGTAGGGTTCCCGCGGCATGAGCTAGAGAAGAATGAACAAGATAACACCAAATATTCTGTACCAAAGAGTAGACATGTCCAGTCAATGATCAAACTTGACAGTGGCATGATCTTGTGAGTTCTCAGTTCGGAGTCATGAAAAGGATGTGTTAAATCATGGGGACATAAATTTCATGGAATTTGCAACCTCAGATCCCAGTGATCATGCCAGCATCAAACTTGATGGTGGCATGATCTTGTGAGTTCTCAGTACTCAGACTTGCAACAAACTGCAGAACACTGCCAAGGAATGTGGAAGCACCACACACTCCATCTGTCTTCATAATCCAGGCCGACGAACATTGACTACTAGAAGCTCTTTCACTAAACATATCTGTTCAATCGAGGCAACAAATACATGTTAGTTCTGAGTTGGCAGTTTACCTGTGTCCTTCCTCCTTCGATAAGTCACCTCAGGTCACCAAATGCTGTGCTGCTAATAAAATTGTCCTAAAGGTTACCAATTCTTGCCAAGAAGAATGCACGTTCGGTCATAGTATCCGAAACAAGGTAATAATTTTCTTTCGAAACATCTGCTTCTACAGTACTCAAGTCTTCAGGCTGTTTAGCAGCAGTAACTTTAATTCCTTAACTGCACATAATGTTAAGCTGAAATGTTAGATATGAGCCCCCAAGTGAAAACAACATATCTGGATACTGACTAAGTTTCACAATCTGATCTCTCGATGCAGACATCTATATTTCTCCTGCAATCTCAAAAGTTCCTTTGCAAATTCTTGATTCCCAGTTAACAGCAGACCATTCAATATGCGATTAAACATGAACTTCCTTGGCAAATGGCCCCTCTCGACCATCTCCATCACCATCTTCCCAGCTACCAGCATGTCTTCAGGCCGTCTTCTCACAAACATCGCACTGATAATGACATTATACGTATCCAAGTTCGGTAAACAGCTCTCCTGCTCTCCCATCCTCCCAAACAGCTCCAAGCCCTTCTCGAACTCCCCCTCCTCAAGCCAGTACCTTATCAGAATGGTATATGTCTGCACATTGGGCTCACATCCATCAAGCTTCATCCTACTGAAAAATTCCATTGCTTCATCCATCTTTCCAGCATGACAGAGCCCTCGAATCACCAGATTATAGGTAATGGAATTCGGAGTGTATCCCTTCCTCAACATCTCATCAAACAGCAAGATGGCATCTTTAACACAACCCTTTTTGCAAATAACCTGGATCAAAGCATTGTAAGTCGCAACTGAAGGCAAGCATCCCTCACCAACCATTTCATCAAACAGTTTCCGGGCGTTGTCGAGCTGCCCTGCAAGGCCTAGTCCATGCACCATCGTCGTGTAGGAGACGACGTCAGGCCGACATTCTGAATCGCTGGGACTATCCTTTCGTCCTCGCTTCTTCATCTGCTTGAAGAACCGCATCGCCTCCTTCACCTGATCTGCCCTGAAGTATCCCTTGAGAAGAATGTTGTAAGTGTTCTTCGTCGGTTCGATCCCCAACTCCACCATCTCTCGCAGCACCTCGAGCGCCTGGGACGTACACTTAATCCGGCACCAGCCGTCGGCTATGATGTTGTACGTCACGGCGTCGGGGCGAAACCGATCACGGAAGACCTTAAGGAGTGAGGCGGCCTTCCGGACGCGGCGAGACTTGCAAAGTGTGTCGAGAAGGGTGTTGAAGGCGTGCAGATCCTGGGGGCACCCCTGGTGGTGCATCGACAAGAAGGCCCGGACGGCGCGGTCGGGCTTGCCGGCGCTGGTATGGCGCTCGAAGAGGATGGCGAACGTGCGGGGGGAAGGCGGGAGGGCGATGCGGCCGCGGAGACCGAGGAAGAAGCGGACGGAGCAGTGGTCGTGGATCCGAGCGGCGAGGTCGACGGCATGGTCGAAGGAGGAGGCGGCGGGGTGAAAGGACGGGAGGAGGAGGAGGGAGCGGAAGAAGAGGAGGGCGCGGGGGGCGTCGTTCCAGAGCAGCTTGAGGACGCGATCGACGAGGGGCGGCGGCCACGCATCATCAGGAAGGCGGCGGGAAAGGCTGCGGGATAAGGCGCGAGGGTCGCCGGAGTGGGTACGGACGAGTTGGGCGATGAGGGAGGGGAGGTCGCTTTCTGGTGGCGCTCGAGCCTGGTTTTGTGTTGCGAAGTTGGAAGAAGAAGAAAAGAAGGATATGGAAAGAAGGGAGTCGGGTATGGGGTTGAGGAGTAGGAGGAGGTGGCGTTTGCTTTGAGACGAGGGAAGCATGGCAGAGCGGAAGACGAGAGGAGAGGCAAGACAATAACGTTCCACGAAAAGAAAGAGTAATCGAATAGCAGGCTCCATATGTAGTGAGTGCTTTCGCAAACAATTAGAAATTTGAGACAATTAATATTGATATTATATGAAGAAAAAATAAATACGATTTTCCTGAAAATGTCCTCTTTTGGGCCTTTTCCATGCTCGTGTTTTTATTTTAAATACTATATATATATATATATATATATATATAT